GTAAAAACAAAATAGGGCAAAACAACAAACTTATTTCACCACCTCAAGCAGAAGCACCCGGTTTTGTAGAGCCCAAAATCCCATGAGTAGAGCTCAGCAGCTTTTGTGAGTTCTAAACAAAAAACATTTTTCAGTATTTTGTCATATTGTCAAGAATATAATTATTGCAGAAATACACTGAGTAATCTTGATATTAGGGCCATATTGCTCACCTCTACCACCAATACAGGTTCAGTTTATCTTAAATTGTCAGATGCAACACTGTGCATTGGAAAGGCACCTTGTGGAAAAGGCTTTGCAGTTCTTACATGCAAATCCCCACTGAAATTGATGCTGAGTTCTGTTTTACTTTAATTGACTTTAATTTTCTTGGAACATGAGCATAATGCAAACCATCAGAGTGTGTTGGTTTACCAATTGTGCAGTTAGGTACACAATGTGTGTGCTGTATTGAGTTTTGCAGAGTAATGTTGTGCTGATAAAGAAAAACAAACTCATTCATGTGTTGGGGAGTTAGGGGAGCAGTCCACATTCTGCACGACATCTCTTTTTTTCAGAATTGTTTCCCCCCGTTTTTTTCCCCTCACATTCAAATCTCTACAGGATGCCTTCATTGCTCACACAATGCAAATCACTCACGGCCCCTATTCATGCACTGATTAATATGCAAAGACAGCCCATCCTCATCTGTCCTCAACAGAAGAGGAGAAGAAATATTACAGCCAGCCGAGTCATTTTGAACTCATCTGTTTAAAACTATCTGCACTTTTTGATTCACTATGAAGCTGCACTGTGAGATGACATGCATTTGTGGATAATTAATCAAAATCCACTGCCTTACAGTATGTTTCATTTTCATTCTCTAGAATTTAGATGTTTTATCCACAGATCTACGATTAGCCACTAATAACATTTTGACTAGTCTATAATTATTACAGCCTGTGTTCCTCTTTGTTATAATTTCAGTATAAAACTAACAATTGTTTGGAATTATAACTGACACTGACTCAATGGAAAATTTTGGGATTATAAAGAAATACAATTTGAGGCATGTGGTACCTAATCTAAGAATTTGGCGGCATTTCTAACGAACACTAAACAGGGAGTGGGTTTTGAGAGCTGTAACTGTAGTATACTTCTTTTCTCTTTGAGTGATTTAAATTTTCATAAATTACACTTTGTTGGGTTTGGGTGTAGATGTCTCACTTTAGGGCCCTTAGCAGATGTGAGGGGTCCCTTATTCTGTCTTAGAAAAGGAATCCAAAAATACCTTAAATTCCCAAACTGTACATTCCAACATTTTGGTAAATACACAAAGTAGTTGGTTCATCTGTTTCAATTCATTGGTTTCATCTGTGCATCCATTGCAGAGATAGGTCCAGGTGTGTTCAGTTTGGCTTACAGAGAGAAAACAGTAATATGTAGAATTTTAAAGATATAAAAATTAAGATATGCATTGTTTTAAACAATACACATAGACAAACGGTTAGAGCTAGAAGAAGAAAAAGTATATGGAAAAAGAATAAATTCACTGTAATGAATGAATAAGGCTCATGTAAACTTCAGCTGCAGTGTAGAACTCACATCTGGCAAATCAACTACACTTGCAATTATGACTCAATGAGAAGTAATTTTCTGTTGCTGTCTTTTGCTTTTATAATAACTGTACTGTAGCAGTAGTATGCCGTCTACAGCTGAAAATGAGCTGAATCCAAAAGGGTACAGCTGTAATCTGAGCAGCTCCTGACCTATTGAGAATTTGATCAACACATACACTGTAATAAATTGGTACAAAATGTGTACATGTCACTTTGAATGCAGTGTGGATCTTGTTGCAACTACAGAGCAAAGATCCAGAATCCCGTTTTATTCAGACAGCAGACTAAAAACGCCTTATAATTTTCCCTTGTTTGGCTGCTTTTTCCAGTTCCCCTAAGTCAGAAATAGCCTGTATTATTTTCATAGTGGCTTTGAACTCACCACAGCAGTTAAAGTCCCATATGTTAGCGATTTAGGAATTGTGTATTTTTTCTCCCTTAAAACGTTAACTTTTTCTTCTTTTTTGGGAGCAGCTCTGTGCTTGATGCAAGAAATCATTATTTTAGATCTAGAGGATCATTAAAAGAACTTTACAGTTCACTTCACTCTGTCTTAAGATTCAAAAGCACATGGATCTGCTTTGCTCTGGAATTCAGTATCTTGAGTTTCATAAAACTGAAATATTGAATGGCAGGTGCACAGCAGTAACTCGGCATTCAGACAAAAGCAACATTTGGGGGAGTCCAGTTTGAGTAATAGATGCATGAGTTTTAAAGTCTGTCAGACACCAAAACACTGCACAGCAGTTTATAATACAGTTTATATATAATAAAGGAAGGATTTTATGTTGGTGGAAAGTTCATGTATTGCAGTGTGGCAAAAGTTGAGCCAGGTTAAACTTTTTTGGCAGATGACCCAGCATTCCTATTTCTTTGCCAGAGCTCTCTGCATTAGAACTCTGTGCCAATGCAGTGGTCTCAATGAAATAAGTGAGTAGGCGTCATGTTTGTTTTTTTTCTTCCCAAACAGTGCTAATGTCTGTCTGACCACAGCTGATAGCACAGGACATCACTTCTGAGCAAACCTTCAAGCAGTTCATCTGAGGTATTCTCATTTTTACTCTGGAAAAGGTGCAACATATAGTTTGGTTTTTCTGGTTGCCTTCCATCACCTGATGGAATGATGACGATGGATAGAGCACTCCAATGACACCATATCAAAACTGACAATACAGACTAGACTCAATTAATCTGGTTGCAGACAGACTTAGACAAGAAAGGCCACCGTCTGTGTCCATATTCATACTCTTTTTCATATTATATTTTCCATTATTCAGTTATTTCTTGGAAGGCGGTGTGGCTTCCAAGCCTAATGTTTGTTACTTTTCTGAAATTGTAATTATCACTGAAGTGGAACAGGAACTGGAAATCAATAAATGTAATTAAATTGCTCAGCCTTCAAACTGTGTGATACTGTCATTACCCTTTTAATGTATCCCGGGCCTATCAAATAATGTGATCACTTTCTTTGAATTTCTTCCCCTGTTGCAACAGGGCTAATGCACAGTTGTCTAATTATCTCCCTCTTGGTTGCTTTTACTTTCCCTCCCATATGAGGTGCAGTAAATTGCGGGGGCGTCAGAATATTTCGGCAGGATCATGAATCATATAGGCGGTACCACACCGCCCTCTACACCACTAACAGTGACAGGCTGACACCGTGTTTGTGTGTAAAAGGTGGCAAAAATTATTGATAAATATATAAATTATTTAAAATACCTAAAACCCATTCTGTAAAACTAAGAAAGACATCAGTTTCATCAATGTGTGCTGAAGTGCAATCTGTTCAGTGTGTGTGTAGCAGAGGTTTGAAAATTATTGTCCAGCCACAGTTCTGCAAGTTGACACACATTGTGCCCACATAACCCTTTAGATCCTTTTTCTGACTAAAGTCAGACTGAAACCAAGAATATGAAATGAGTATAAAAACAGGAAAACTGTAGACCTAGAAGAAGAATGCTGAAATCAAAACATAAAAAATCGTCCTTGTACATTCTAGGGATAGTGTCTACTAAATTCAGGTATTAATAAATCAAACAATTCTTCCCTGCTCTAAGGACCCGTGGGGGTCCTCAAACTCCACACAGTTGCAGTGTATAGGAGGAGGGGACAGATGCAGGGAGGGAAGGAGGATGTGAGAAGCAGAAGTGGTGGGGGTTTAGAGGGAAAATGGGTCCCCCTCCCGCCCTATATAACCATGGTAGCTCTGGGATTGGACCCTGTTGTATACATTGAAAGACTATTCAGTCGCCCTCAATGGATGACGAATCCCCCCGAACCTACCCCCCGACCCCCTGACCCCCCCACCCCAAACCAACAAAATTAAAAACTATGATTAAATCAGCCCGGGCCTGTATGTCAACATCATTTTGCGCACCGCTCTATTGAGTTGGAAACTCCAGTGTGCTAATTGGCAAGATTAAAAAAAAAACGAAAAAACAGAGGTTATGTCACATAAAGAAGGTCAAAGGCTGTTAACCTATATGATCAGACTGATGTTCAACTCTAAAATCCTACTTTGACGCATCCGCGCAGAATACTGCTTGTCTGCCAAATCCGACGGTGGCGTCTAATCCATTCAACGAAAAAGAGTTTAAGCGCGTGCTTATGAGAACAAAACTCTTATTTCATCTTGATTAAAATGTCGTTAACCCTGTTTTTGGTGGACTGAAACAAAGCATCCCCGCGAAGAGCGAGCGACGCTCCGCACACTCCATCCTCGGTGCGTCACGGCTGACCCAGCAGAAGTGAGAAAGCCACGGTAGACTTGTGCACATGAACATATGTCGTTTTGGTTATTTAATGTTTGAAAGGGGGAAAAGATGGCTTACAAGCAGCTAAAATGAGTATAAGAAGGCATTAGGGGACCACAAAGCCGCCCCTTCATCACCAGTCCTATAGCCTAATCTCTGCCAGCATCCACTAACCTTTACCCGCACAATAAACTCGCAAGCATAACTAGCAGAAAACGCAGCACGTGTGGGTAATTTTCATTGAAATGACACAAACCTACAGTATACATTAACTAAGGGAGGACAGTTAGCCAGCCGGACCTGTGATGGCATAGGCTACTCCTCTGTATTGCGCGGAGATATTCAAAAATGCACCGAGGCAAGCGGCTCCTGATACGAAACTAGGAACAGAATATCCCGAAACTGGATAAAAGGCGTCCCGGTTGTTATTTTGCGCTTTATTCGGCTCAAAGAAACGTAAACTCTCACTTCTTGGTTAAACTCCTGATAAAATAGAGGTGATTTTTGCACCGCACCAGCTAACGCCACTGTCCGGAGTCAGTGGCAAGGATGCCGCTGGCGGGACCAGAGGATGCTGCTCCAGACTCAGCTCGGCCTGCATTAATCTCCACATAACCTAATATGAATGACAAATAACTCCGCTTCTTACCTGCACAGCCAATGAATAGCAATCCCCAGATGATGTCCCTTACTTGAAACATTGTAATGTGTCACAGATATTCTCCTTGATGTGCAGCCGTACTTTAAAACAAGCGAGGTGTCTCTACTGAGGGGGGGAAACAAGATATCAGCCTTTCCAGTGACAACAACTGCTGCCGGACGGAATTTTGGTCCTTGTCGCTACCCGTGTTCGTGGCACAATGAGTGACAAGCGCAGCAGCCGTAGCACGCACTCACACATACACACACATATGCACTCAATAGATACCAGCACGAATTACTCCGCCCGGTAGGCTATACCCCCACACACGCAGAGACACACACCCGGAGGGGGCGGGCTGAGGTGAATGCAGTAACAAAGTAGTGCGCGGAGCTGCCAGTTTAGACAGCAGATGGTCGCCAGGGGCTTTAATTCGGATTACTGAGTTTATAACAAGCTAAATACAATTAACTGAGGACCAATTAAAAGTGTAATTCAGATAAAATAATAATGATAAATAAATCATGTATTTAAAATTTAAATATTTAATAGCCTTTGTCAATGTCTATGACTTATTATTCACCTATCTACTGTAGCATATATAATTTTTGTATATAACAGTTGTTTTGGTGAGTTGCATAAAGGGAACTACAGCTTTCATTATACAACCATGTGTTGTAAAGTGATAAATCTACCTTGCACCATTGCTGATTGATTAAAGACACCAAAGCATTTGAATATAGGCTATTGTTCTAAACTACATCATTATTTTGTTTAAATTTCCAAAATGTAAGGGACATATAAGCTATATTTCAAGGTAACATTATTACCGTTATGGGTCCATCACTTTTAGTTTCCTTAAAAGGAACTATTAATTTGGTATGATACTAAATAGAGAAACAAAGCTACTGAATGTTCTGAGTGTTCTTTTTATTTTAATTAGCCTAGTTATGTGGAGTTTATAAGCTGTTGTTGATGTCCAGAGGAATTTCCAGCAGCAGAACAAGCTGTGTACACAACAATGACATATCATCACACTATAGATAATATGGCAAACTTACAAAAAGTGGTTTATTTACCCACTCCATCAATACGTAGCAACATTAGCATTCATTTGAAGTTGTGTTTGTGCCTACCTGTTGAGTCCATATTCACTCACCTAGGTCTGTTTTTGTCTCCACTGACTCTTTCGCTCCAAATACTCAACTATGTTTGCTAGTTGCTAACATTGTCTATCTGCTGTTTGGTGCTAGACAGATAGCGTACAGTAATACTATCAGAGATTTTTTTGCTTAAAACACCTGACAGCTGCTACATAACTGCAGTTCACAATGAAACCCAAATACAGTGTAAACTGGATATGGCTGTCAAAAACAGCACCACAAGCAATTATTTTTGTGTGCTCCTCCAAATTAATGTGTGCGTGTCCATGTGCAACCTGCTCCTCTCTTTCTGCTAGCTAGCTACTCTCCAATCACATACCTGCTGCCAGCAATCAGCTTTCTCAAAGAAAACCTTCCAATTTGCAATCTGCAAAAATTGCACCACTGTATCATAAAATATGTCAATAACACCACAAACCTAACTGCTGATCAAAGAAATAGATGAGCTCTGATGGCAAAGTTACTGGCAGGAGCAGTCAACCTGAGATGAGTACAACTTGGCAGCTGTCAGTAGCCTACTTCAAAACCGCACTGGCTCGCACTTTGTATGTGTTGGAGCCACTCGATTTGACCAACTCAAGCTTCAGTTGAATTGTTGAACTTCTTACAGTGTAGTCACTCTACAAAGATTATTTATTATTCAAATTAAAACAACTCACTATTCACTTGGTTTCACACAGGACTCAAACCCCGGTGTCCTGGATTAAAGACCTGAAATTGTTTGACCATCTATCAATCCCAACCACCTCTTTACGTGCATTTAGTCTCTCTTTACACAACGCTACCTGACTTTCTTATGTGCTCCCATCATACTGCTACTAGAGGTCGTAGCCTAAAAATAAACATAAATATAGGTCATAACAAGCTGCTGCACACTGTTTTTCTGCTGAGGACGGCTGAACTAAGTGATGAAATATACCGTTCTAATGTTAAAACGTGGAGATTACTGAAATAGCATGCTAAATCAGACAGAATTCAAAAACTGAAAAAGTGAAATCAACTTTCTATTGTCATTTGCAAAGGTAAATGAGAAAATTAAACAACCTCATCACAAAGAGCAGCAGTGTTTCTTTGACTCACTTTTTGATGTTTTAAAAAGACCTACTGTAGTTAATTCACAGTGGCTTCATTGTGTCTAAGACATGTTTTCTGTTTCATTTATGGACTGTACATGTGTTACTAGTTTAATCCCCAGAAATTTAAGGTTAGGTTTAAGAACACATGTTTTTTGTTAGGTTTTTCACCAAAACTACTTGATTAGGTTTAGTAAAATATTGTGCTTTTGGTTAGGTTAAGGAAAAGATCATGGTTATACTTAGGTTTGGGCGCCTAAACTACTTGGTTAGGTTATGGAAAACATTGTGTTTTGGGTTGAAATAAGTAAATTACGTGACGGCAGATGGGTTACATTAGAGTAACTTTAAACTCCACCAGGGACAGGGGATGCAAATTAGTCTTGGCTAAAAACCTGCATGCATGGCATCTACTTTGTCCATCCATCCATCCATTGTCAACTGCTTATCCTGCTTACAGGGTCGCGGGGGGCTGGAGCCAATCCCAGCTGGCATCGGGTGATAGGCGGGGTACACCCTGGACAGGTCAGGCATCTACTTTGTGTACAAAGCAACGTGTCATGCATTTGTCTCTGAAAAATAAATGAATAAATAATGTCCAGGGTGTCTCATAAGGATGCTGTAGGGTACCTTGTGCGATAAATACCGATGCTTTGTCAGGCTTTCTCAGCATCGGTATTTGACATGCTGGGATGATACCGGGCTTGTATGCTCAGTATGTTTCAGACACGCATATTGTTATAAAGTATGGTTAAATACACAGTTTCCATTTCAGCCATCTTGACTCAAAAGCAAGCATGTGCATTGGTTAGCATGGAAGCAGGTTCTGCTCTTCCACTGGTCAGGGTAACTGCAAAGCCATGGGGTGGAGTGCCTCGTTTAAATCTGTGTTGTTGTGTCCTTTATGCAAACAATGGCCTTTTTACAAATCAAGCAGACAAAGATCAACATTAGCTTGAATCTGAAGTCCTGCTTCTGACCACCTGACAGATTAGGTCTAATATCAACTCCCCTTTTAGCTCTGTTTCCACTAACTCCTGAGAAACAATATCTGGGTCCTTAGCTAAATGCTCCGCGGTGTTCACCAGCTAGTCGCTTACTTTTGGTGATGGCCAGAGAGCTTACAGTGAATTATCAGAGCTTTTTGGCTGAAAACTGCCTGCTGCTATGGGAAACAGGGTTGTAGGTTAATAAAAGATATTTAAATGGAGAAGTTAAAAATCCTTAAATCCGCTTCAGTTTAAAGACATATATAATGCTTGAAATAATTATTTGGGTGTGATATGGTTTCCAAAAAGAAGTTACAATTACCTTGTTAAAGATTTCATAAAATTACGTCAAATCTATCTCCCTCATTGAAAAATCCAGATTTCAGAAATATTAAAATGTTCATTTCAAAACTTATATAAAAATATATAATAAAAGTATTCCACCATCAGCAGATGATCTCTCTTCTCAAACTTAAATACATAATTCTGCACAGTGATGCTCAAATATCCAGATGAAGTAACAATAAGCAGAACACATTTTTGAGGATGAGGGCTTTAACAGTGCTGCAAGTCCTTGGGAGGCAGAATCAGTTATATCAACTCTAACTTAAACATTAAGCTATAGCAGTTCAAACAAACAAGCATTACTAGCACAAACAAACAAAACCAGTTTTCCATTTCTCGTATAAGAGACCTTTAACTGTTAAATCTGATTCCATTCATTCTGGGGTATAAAACCAAGCCGGAGCCTTGAGGAAATTAGTCTCATCATATGGGCTCCAAGATATGCTTAAATCCACAGCCTAATTAGTGCTCTTCCTCTGAAAATAGGACACCCTCTGCATTGTGATACCAAAGTCTCCTTGAACTAAAAAGTTCACAGTTTATCTCTACTTCCCTCAAAGGAGACTAAAAACAGCTGCAGATTCTGTATATTAATATCAAAGATAACTACAGGAAGCAATCATTTAAAAAGTTGTATATGCAGCAAATATGCAGTCTTTAATATGATGGAACAATATACACGAGCCAGCCCAGATCAAGACTTTCTAGAGCAGAATCACACCCCCTGTCCATCATTTGTTTGACTGATAATGCTAGTGACTCTGCAGTGGAGCAAGCCAACTAAATTTGATACTCAAAGCCTAGGTTTATGTTGGAGTTCTCCCTTTAAGCTTAGATTCTGAACACCAAGGAATGGAAATCCAGGGGTTCAAAAGGATATAAGGGTCTGAACTAGCAGACAAGGTATTGTCCATCGTCCAGGTAAGTGGAGTGAAGTCAAGATTGTGGTGATGTTGTGGAGAGAGAGTGACAAATTCTAGCATGGAGAAATTCAGGTCACCAAAACAAATAGTTAGATTTTTGACAATAACTCAATTGGATAAAATGGGACTATTTTCACATGTGGTTCAAACTTCAGATCACAAAAAAAAAGATTTTTCACAGCAGGGATTGATTACCCATATGGGTGAGAAGTACTCCCTGCAGGTCTTTTGTTTGAAAAGTTTGAAAAGTTGAGCAATTTTAGGTTTGATCTTATTGAGTTGACAAAAGTGTTGTGCCATTCAACAAATATAATGGAAAACTCACTAAATGCAAATGAGTTAGAATTTTAAATGAATTTCCGTTCTCTTTAAGAACAAGGTAAATATTAGCATTTAATTAAATTAGCTGCAACTAATTTACATAAGGGGCCAAGAAATGTTCTGAAATAGGACTTAGTGGTCTTGTTTGCTGATTGCTAGGCAATATATTGAAGGGAATCAAATTTTATTGTAGAATTTTAAGTGTAGAATCACCATGCAGCATGGTCCCAATACCCTGCATAATAAAAAAGAATACATAGGACAAACAAATACAGCAAGCAAGTAAATAATACAATTAAAAAGAGATAAGGTGCACCGTAGGCAAATGCTCTAAAGGTAAGCCAAGCCAAGTCAAACCATTAAACATTTACATACCAAAAAATAAGTTACAATCTAGTACATGTACTTGTACAGTCAGACAATCTTCAGTGGGTCCCAGGTGTTAGTCCCAGGGTCA